CATGTTCTAGTCCTGGTTCTCCAGACTGAAACAAGTTAACTTGGGTTTTTTTGGCATGAAATTTTATAGCTCAGCCTGGTTCTCCACATCATGAATGGTCATCTTTAATTGGCTTACATTTAAAAAAAATAGAACAAGAAGCCATATTTTACCAGTGTCTGAGATTTTAGCAATCAAGGAATAAAATACATGGCTAAAACCTAATTAAGTTCTTTTTGGTCCCTCCCATTGCTTTATTACATTAGTGGTGCTGGGTATAGTTCAACCTTTATGTACAGATTTAGTGTTGGACCAAGCACTTTTATATCCATAAACTAATACCTCATATTAGGTAAGTATTATTATCTATGTTTTATGGATTACAAAGCCAGAGAGGTTAAAGTTACAGAGACGATTATAGTAGAGATGAGACTTGAACCCAGGTTTTCTCCACAGTTAGTGACCTCTTTACCAGTTGAATAGGTGAATCTGTTATACAAATCTTTCTATAAATTATTTTCTGTTAAGTGAAAATTCCATGTTTCATTTTTAAGTGAACCCGTCAACTTACAAAAAAAATATATTCCAGTAGAATAAAAAATGTATATGCTGCCTGATAATAAAATCAAATGTGTATAGCCATGTTTTTTCATCACATACATTAAGGAAAATAACTGATAAACCAATAACAAATAATGTCAAATACCAAAATTAAATCTGAACGTATTGATATTAATAAGGAAGGCCATAGTCAAAATGTTATTAAAATAAGACTCTATAAGAAACCATACAGAAGTGACTTGGTTTGTGAATTCTTTAATTTAGGAATTAAATGAAGGGAGTGATACTTGAAGCGAAATTTAGCCTGCAGACTTAGGCTATCAAAAACATGCAGATTATGGTGAGCTGCCTTTTTTCATCCTGAAACGGGGAAACAGATCATTAAGTCTGGGAAGAAGTCATTCGGCTGAGGAAGATGAAGACGAAGCCTGAGTCACCAACTCGCAGGGCCCACCGCCTTCCTGCTCCCCTCCGTCCCTCCTCATGCCATCGTCCGCCTTCATCGTCTCCATCTCGGACCCCAGGCCCACCCAGCCCAGACAGGGAGGGAGAGAGGAGGCGCTGGGAGGCCCTGGCTCTGCAGTGGCAGCAAGGCCCAGGCCACCATGGCCGAGTCTGTAATTTCTACTTCTGAATGAGCGGCCCTCTTTTCCCCCCACTAATTTACTCTTTTGTAATGAGTGAGTTTAAAAAATCTTTTTTTTTTTTTTTAATATTGCTTTCAGATGTGTCTCCAGGCTGGGTTTGAAAATAAATGTTGGCCATTACCTTATCAGATGCTGTTATGGCCTTATTTTTAAACCTCCTTTCCTCCGAGGGCCTGTTCAGAGTGCAGAGGGCTGCCGCAGACAAGTGGGGGCCGGGAGGGTGGGTTGTTGGCCTGAGGCACCTATTTGCTTGAGAAAAATTGCTGCCAGATGAGTGGTTTTTAGAAAGCTCCGGCTGCTGATGTGGTCTTTAGTAGGGAGGGGATTAAAGGGAGTGCAGTCTTTATAAATATTTGCTGGAGAGCTAATGGGTTTTTGTGTGCCTGTGTGTTTCCTTTTTCTATTGGGGAAATTACCAGTAATACAGGAACATCCTGTGATAAAATATACGCAGTACAGGCTGAGAGAATGGATGGATGAAATAGAGGATGAAATAGAGGAAATGTGCCCCAGGCCTGTGGCATGCTGTAGTAGGACTAGTCCTGGCATCTTGATTTGCTTACAGGTGATTAACGACAGTATAAATAGAGGAATGTGTAGAGCATAAATAAATAGGCTCTTCCATCAGCTGCTTTTAGCAGAAAAAGCATTCATCCCCATCAAAGAAACCACAAATGCTCTCCCAAGCCTAAATTTTATTTTCAATTAGTTACCCACCCTGGAAGAATGCCAGTGGGAATAATCCCATGTAACTCCAAATGCTCCCGTGTCTGAAGGAATAGAGCCTTCATCACATTGCTTAAATGGTATATAGATGCTCTCCCAGAGTAATACGTGCTAATCTGATTAGATGCCTGCATTGAGGTAGTGAGACGGGGAATATTGTAAATCTGAGTTTCCAGGCAGACAAACACAGGAAAGATTTCCAATTGTAATTGCTGATTCTGTGGAAAATAGAAGTGTAGAAACTTCTAAAAATACTTACCTTTGTTCTCCTTATCCTGTCTTCAAAGGAGAGTTCAAATATGGCTCCAAAATGCAAGGATTAGCTTACTGTGTTTTAGTTTATCAATCCTCACTATGTGAAATTATTTATTAGTAAATATTTTAAACCACAAATTGCATTCCAAAATATTTACTTGTTGCCTTTTAAGAAGGGACTTCCCGGATGGCTTGGTGGTACAAGATTCTGCCTGCAGTGCAGTAGATGCAGATGTAGGTTCGATCCTTGAGTCAGGAAGGATCCCCTGGAGAAGGAAATGGCAACCCACCCCAGGATTCTTGCCCAGGAAAATGCCATGGACGGGAGCCTGGCAGGCTACAATCCGTAGGATCACAAAGAGCCGAACACGACTAAGCAACTGCGTCCGTGGACGTATGCCTTGTAATAAACGGGAGTTCTTTCCAGGAGTGTGAAGAAAGCTTGAAGAAAGCTCTCACAGCAGGGCACGTGGAAGGCCCCCTCCTCCATCCAAAGGAGCCCTGCTGGGTTCCTGCAGGTGTGTGAGGGCAGTAGGAGGGCTCTGAGGGCAAGAATCACAGGCTGGCAGCCCTGGTCTCTTTGTCAGCTGCCCCCAGACAGCAGGAGAGAGTGTCGTGGTGAGCCCACCAACCCTCGTCCAGCCTGTTATCCTAGCTGGGGGAGCTAAGAGCTCTCTGGTCCTTCTGGTGCCAGGATACAAGCCCCCAGGCTCTCACTCTCCTCCCTTCTTTGCTGGACCCTCCTAGAGAAAGCCATGCCCCTCTCTGGAAACAGCTTTCTTTGCAGACCTGGGCAGTGGAGAGAAGATAGAGCTGTATGTTTTCTTGCTAAACCCTGCTTACCTGGCATCGGGCACCTGGTCAGGGTGGTCGCTGGCGGGCACCCAGATTGGAGAGGTTATTTTGACAGCACAACTTCTGCTTTTTCTGAGCGCATAAGTTAGAGACACCCTTTGACTAACCAGCTACCCACCCCCTCATACGGTAGGGTGAGGCAGTAAAAGATTCAGTTGAAATATGACATATGGAAAACTGTACAAATCGTAAGTGTACATCTTAATGAATTTTCATAAGTAGAAACACCCATGTAACCAGTATCCTAGTGAAGTTTCCTTTTATAATGATTTCTTCCTTAATTATATGAAGCAATTTGTAGGAATTTTTGAAAAATACAGCAAAGTATAATAAAGAAAATACAACCCATGCATTGTACCTACTCCCCCTAAAATGATCACTGATTAACATTTTGGTGTGTTTCCAGCCTGTCTTTTCCTCTCTTACACACACAAAGATATATATTCTTGTCCATAAACACACACATGGTCCTGCAACCTCTGAAGCTTCATACACATCTGTGTGAATAAATACAGAAGCTCCAAATAATTGCAATAACATGCATAACCTCTGAAGCTTCACACATATGTGTGGGAATACACACAGAAGTTCCAAATAATTGCAATAACATGCCCTACAGATTTGTAGACACTTAACTATCTGGTGCTTGGCTTCCTCAGCAGAGTAGCCAGGATATAAGGGAAACGAAAAACCATCTGTCTCCTTACTCGATAGCAGGAGAAGAGCTGCTTATGAAGGAGGGGGTAAATAGATGGCTGACATATACTTATGGGTGATTCATAGGTTTCATTTATTCAGTATTTTCCTTCTCTCTCCTAGCATTGACGATAGGAAGTGTAAAGCCTTCTTAATGCAGAGCATTGAGTAGAGACCTTTTCATGCAGAGCGGGGGTGAGACCTGGACACACATTTTTCCGGCTCCTCCGTGAAACTGAAGCCCTTTTGGCTCCAGCTTCACTTTTACCAAAAGGCCAACTTTCCTTTTTCTTTTTTTAATTAGCTTTCTCACAGATAGCCAAGCAGAATTTAACCACAGAGCTCTTGCTTTTACAAAAGGAAGCGGAATCAAAATGTTGGAAATGGGCCCGGTGGTTTTGTGAGTTGCAGCAAAATGATCTTCCCCATCATGACTAAGATGGATGCGATGGTGCTTCACTGCACTGGGCTGGGGGCTTTGGTGATCTCTGAGTCTCCCACTAATGCTGTCGGGAAGGGAACGGTTGGCACCAGCTTCCCATTGCTGTTGGTGGTACAGCCTGTACTGTCCATCTGCTTTTGGGCTGGCCAAGTCTGCAGGGGACTTGATAGGGTCCCTTGTGCTGAGAAAAGCTGCTTCCATCAGAACTGCCTGCCCTTCTCTTTTTTACATATTTATTTAAAAATTTTTTGTTTTATTTTTGTTTTGGCTGCAATATGTAGAATGTGAGATCTTAGTTCACCAACCAGGGATCTAACCTGTGCCCCCTGTATTGGGAATGCAGAGTCTTAACCCCTGGACCACCAAGGAAGTTCCTGCCTATCGTCTTTTAATATCTTTTTTATCCTTATGCACTGGGGATTTGAATTTTTACACATATAGAAAGTTTAATGGATTTTTTATATTTTTTATATTTGCAAAATGTTTTCTTAGATCACAGCTTTCTCCTTGCTTGTTAAAAAGCATGTTCACAGGGGCATCCATGGTGGTCCAGTGGTTAACATTTCACCCTCTAGTGAGGGAGTGTGGGTTCGATCCCTAGTTGGGGAGCTTAGATCCCACAGGCTCCCCCCAAAAAAACAAAAAACAAAAGCAAAAAACCCCTATAAAATAGAAGCAATCAATAGTGTAACAAATTCAGTAAAAGCTGAATAGTCCATATCAAGGGAAAAAAAATCTTAAAAAAGACAGTACGAGTTGAAAGACATTAAAAACAAATATGTTCACAAACAGTATGAAGTAGCCTGCATGTTTACCAAAGTTCTTATGTTTCTTTGCAGTCGGAATCAGCTGTCTGCCCTGCCGGCCTGCCTGTGTGGTCTCCCTCTCAAAGTCTTAATCGCAAGTAACAACAAACTTGGATCGCTGCCTGAAGAGATAGGTCAGCTCAAACAGTTAATGGAGTTGGTATGTTACTGATTTTTCAGATGCCCTTCTTGTTTGTTTGCTAATCATAGCCCATCAAGGTAATCAGAAAGACTTTTTCCTACAGTGGGTCAAGGAGAAGATCATGTTGTTGGAGGTATATGATAAAGACATTAAGTGGGGAAGGGAATAATCATGGCTTTGCTGTGACAAGGAGTCCCTGAAATTTACATTTTTCCTGTAGTTTACACTGCCTGAAGTTTGTAGTATTTACAGTTCCTCAGGTTTACAAATTATCCTATGGTAGTTAGATCACTTTTTTTTTTCAGATTGGATAAGTAAGTTTGTAATAAAATATGGATACACTGGCAAAATAATCTGCAAATAAATTAGTAGGCCACACTTTGTGAAGGTACATAATTAAATCAGTAAGAACAGAGTGCTCTGATTCTGTAAGAATTTTAGTAACCACTGCCCCAAATTGATGTAACTTTAGAATGTGACCATAACCCCAGGGATAAGAAAGAAGAGCAAATTATAAATAGGCAGGGATGGGTTGTAAGTATGTACCTGAGGCCAAGAGTTCAGCTCTTTCACCACTAATTGAGTTACTGACCTTGTTTCTCAAAGGGGAAAAGAGTGAGTTCTTCCTGGACTTCCATTGAGCTAAGGTATCTTCGGTTAATGAAGAGGCAAGAATAAGCATCTGGGCTCAACCATAATCATCACAATTTATCCTCCAGCAAGCATCCTTGCATACTGTCCCTGTTGTTGTTTAGTCACTCAGTCATGTCTGACTCTGTCTCTGTTAAGCACAAAGCAGGATGTTCTGATTACAACCATGAGTAGGACACAGTACCTTCCTTGAAGTAGACTCCAATCTAGGACACTGATGGCCAATAACTTTTCTCTTACGTGCCAGTTCCAGTTAATGTCTTTAAGGCCCCCTGGCACACTGGGGTGATGGCGTATGGGGCCCAGATAGAGCATGCTGGGACTCCACGGTCAGGTGTGCGTCTGGGATTGGCTCAGAAAGGGACAGCACCCATGTCACATACGTATCCACTTTGATTTTAGGAAAGAAGTGAGTAATTGTGATATAAGGGCAACAGAACTGTACAAAGAGTGCCTTTTTCTGTGACAGCAGTATCTGACGCTCATGCCCACAAGCTCACATCAAGAGCTGGGATGAATCGTAAGGATACAGGGGTCGTCACATCACCAGTACCATGACATCTGGTCAGGGATTATGAGTGACCAGCATAAGACACTGGAAAGGTGTTGACAAGCATAGCAGCCATTGGTTTTCTTACTCAGCTTTCTATACTTCTCTGTGTGGTGGAGAGGTTGCCTTTCCCACAGATCCCAAGGTTGAATGTCCTTCAGCTAGAGCATTTAGCAGGACCTGCTAGCATGTTTCAGCCCTGGTTTCTGAGTGAGAGAGATGAGATCTGGGTCCGGTGTCCTCTCCTGACGGGGTCAGCGATGCCCAGGGCCTTCGGCCACACCGCTCGGACGCGGCTGCTTGACAGCCCCCCTAGAGGGATGATTCCCAAAGCAGACAGATATTAATTTAGGTGGATACACCCCTACAAAGTTGCTATTACAAGAAGTAAGTGCTTGGCCTAGGCCTGATTGATTCAGTCCTGGGTTGAGAATGGTTTAGACGGGAAGAGACCTTTGAGAGTCTGCTTACATAAGTCCATGTAAGGGACAGATTTGTGAGCATTTTCGAGCACATCACTCTTTCTGCAAGGACTGTTTCTTCCTTCTCTTCTTCATTTGGTCAATTTTTTAGCCAAATTAGATTTCACTTCCTCCAAAAATCCTTCCCAGATTCTCCAAGCCAGAGTAGGATCCTCCTAAGGCCAGCACTGTCTACATGGCACTGAATTTTCGTGGAACCGCATTTGTCTTCTCACTTGGCATTCTCTAGGTCAGTACCCACTAAACCCGGAAAGCTGCTTCAGCACCGGAACAGCGTGTTACTTGTTCTGTCTCAGTGCTTGACACGAGATGTTGTTGTTTAGTTGCCAGATTGCGTCCTCTCTCTGACCCCATGGACTGTAGCCTTCCGGCTCCTCTTCATGCAATTTTCTGGGTGAAAATACTGGAGCGGGTTGCCATTTTCTTCTCCAGGGTATCTTCCTGACCCAGGGATCAAACCAACATCTCCTGCGTTGGCAGGATTCTTTACCACTGAGCCACAGGGAAGCCCCTGACACAAGATTGACATCCCCAAAACATGATTGCTAAGGGCTACTATTAGGTTGGGGAGAGTGGGCCACGAAGGTGGCTTGGGATAGATTGGGAAGACTCCCACATGCCGTGCCAGTGAGGGGCGACTCTGTCTTTCAGTCCAATTTAATTCAGAAGTTTCCATATTAACCGATTCCAGAAAACATAAAGTATACCAAATAACACTTTGGATGGAACAGAGAGTTATATGCCTTAAAAAAAAATGCTTCTTTTAGGAGTCTGAAACACCCAAATCTAAGTTTACTAGAATTTGGATTAGGTCTTGCCGATCCAGTGTGAATAAGGAGTTGGGTCTTTTGCACTGCTCAGGCTCCCATGGATGGATGGGTGGCACGTCGGTGAGGTCAGTCTTTGGCAGCCAGCCTGTGTTTCGGTCCCACTGCTCCCGGGCTTAGGCCGACAGCGTGCCCGCCCTCAGCTGTGGGGCACCGGCCTGCTCATCCACTAAGAGGGGCCGCACGTGTTGAGCCCTGGAGCCAGCCCCACACGGAGCGGGGCTTTCCTTGGATACTGGTCAGCTGCCGGGCTGGCCTGCGGCAGAGGTGGAAGGGCACCGCCTGCAGCCTCAGGGCACGTGAGCTGCTGGCTGGCTGAAAGGGGTGCTCTGGGCTTGTCTTTGCTCCCTGACTGGAGCCCAGCTCCAGAGAAGGCCACTCTGCTTCCTGGATCCAGCACCGTCATCAGCCCCCTCCTTGTATCTTGTCTCCACTAGCAATAAACTGTTGAGCCCCTGAGCCCTGGAATGGTAGAGCCTTCAGGGTTTTTTAAAAGACATCTAGTCCAAACTTTCAGCGTCTTGCAAAAGAAGAAATCCAAGGCAGAGAGATGGTGAGCGACGCCTGGAAGGTCACCCTGGCGAACTGACTTACAACCCAAGCAGAAATGCCCTCACCCAGCGCGGTCCCGTGAAAAGACTATGCAGGCAGCAAATGTCATTTTATTTTTTGTTTTTGCCTTTAAAAAAAATGTATTGGGATATAGTTGATTTACTACTTTTTGCTGTATGGCAAAGTGAATCAGCTATACCTATATCCACTCTTTTTAAGGTTCTTTTCCTATATAAGTCGTTACAGAGTACTGAGTGGAGTTTCCTGTGCCCTACAGTAGGTCCTTATTAGTTACCTATTTTTGTATATAGTAATGTGTACCTATCAGTCCCAGTCCCAGTCCCAGTCTTCCAGTTTATCCATCCTCCCCTTTCCCCCTTGGTAATCATAAGACTGTTCTTTACATGTGTGACTCTATTTCTGTTTTTATAAATAAGTTCACTTGTACCATTTTTTTTTAAAGATTCCACATATAAGTGATATCACACGATATTTGTTCTTCTGCAAATGTCATTTTAAATGTACTAGTAGCCACATTAAAAGAACAGAAGCAAGTGAAAGTCATCTTTACAACATATTTTAGTTAACCCTGGATAGCCAAAATATTGTTTCAACATCTCTACAATATAAAATGGATGAGAGATTTTACAGTCTTTCTTTCATCCTAAGTTTTTAAGGTCAACTGTGTATTTTCCACCAGCATATCATAGGCTGGACTGGTCACACTTCTCTTGCCCAGTAGCCACATGTGGCTCATAGTCACCCTTCATGGGCAACCCTGTATTCTGTGTTCTTTCTGCTCTATGAGCAAGCATGATCTTTGCAAAAAGCATTTATTTGCAAAGTTGATGAATATTTAATAAGTTGCCATTATTTAACCACAAAGGGTGACTGGCCTTGCTTAAGGTCACAGACTAAAAATGACTGGTTTCCGTCTGTTCTTATTTATCTTTCATATCTTTTTGCTTAAAATAGTTCTGATACTACAGGTTACCACGTCAGAGGATTTTTAGCTATCAGTTGGAAAAAAAATTCCCTGGGGAGCCTGAAATAACTCTGGAATTGTATAGGAGTCTCCTGTTTTGGAGTTACATAATAATGAACTTAAAAAAAAAATTGGGGAGCTCCCCAAGCATTCAGGCTGCATGAAGCCACCTAAGTGCTGATAAAATCTCACAGTTTATTATCAGGCTCTGAACATTGTTTAACTATTTTGGAAGAAATATTTTGAAAATGTTCATGTTAGACTCAAAGAGTATGCTAAACTGAGTTGTAAACTCTTCTCTTCAAGAGTCATCATTGGCTTAAAAGACAGAAATGATAGCCATCTGTAAGAAAGGAGGTGCCCTCTCTGATATTTGAGGAGTTGGAGTTGGAAAACAGTATCTTACTTTCCTGAATATATCAGTTACCTAAGAATCTTAAAACATAAAGCATTGACATTTAGTGATTGTACAGAGATATGGATAAGCAATTTTTCCTCCTTCCCTGAAGACTTTCATTAAGAAGTAAGTCTGAGATTTTTTTTTTTTCCCCTTAAATCCACAGGAGAGGCCAGGATGGATTAACGCATCGTTTCAGGTGCTGGAAAACTTAGGGAGCCTGAGCCTAAACTCTATTGAGTTTGTGCCTCAAAGCATCATTTCTGATGGGAATGATGTAGGACTTTTTGACCTCCTTGGACACTGCATTACGTCTGTACTTCTTGTCTCCTTAGAGCTGTAGCTGTCTGTGTTCCTCTGTCAAGTCTTTATATCTGCATGTTCTTTCTATCAGGGACAGAGATACACGGCATTGGCATTTACTGAGCACTTATATCGCATGCCACACACTTCGCTGGGTATATGACATGTGTTCCATCATTCGATCTTGACAGTCGCCCAGCAAGGTGCATGTCCTGTCTGCCTTTCACAGACAAGTTTGGGTTTCAGAATTACTTACCCAAAGGCCTGGGGC